CTTGTTGTCTTTAAAATGCAGTGTGTGCCTAGGACAGAGCATACTTATTGTTTGGGCTCCAAAGGTGAGTTGCCTGGAGGAGTGTGCACTTCTTCAGTCCTAATAGGCTTAATATGAGAAAGGTGTGGAATTGTTTAGTCTTGGAAAGATCTAAACAGCTCTCTGTATACTCTCCGGCAGAAACTTGGAGGGTGAAGGGGCAGCCGTGTAAAGGTGGGGCAAGTGTGCATGTGGCAGTTGTCAGTGTTCAAAATGTAGGCCTCAGCTGGATTGAAAAATTAATCATAAACATTTTGACACATCATCCACAGAGCCATCTTGCCACAAACTGTGTTTTCTGACAGTAATCGTAGCATTTAGGGAGCAGATGCCAATGCTGTTGGTGTAGTATTGGTGAGAGGGGTTACTTGTTTTGCATGGAATATGTCTAAAGTATATCTAATATCTCACAACTTTATGGTGTAGCCCCTTTATACTGCTGCCAGTCTGAATTGGGCTCTGTCTTCAGCAAGGTCTTCCTTGGACACCTCTCTGCTGATGTTCTCTCTGTATCTACTGTATTGCTATTTAATATCTACATGGAATTTTCAGCTTGAGCTCTACTTCTTTTGGTCCTGATGAAATCCAAACAGCTTCCATTTTTGGAGTATCTTTTTCCTTGTGCTCCTAACACTTTTGTATGGTAGGCAAATGAAGCTGTTGAGCATTACAAGCTAGATGTTCAAGTTTGGAGGGTCTTCCCCTGTCCCTTCCCCTATCTGCTTTCTACACAAATATTGGTTCCTTCCCCTTCCCTCCCTCTCGCTCCAAAAAACCACTTCTGCCTTAAGTTCTGAACTTCTATAACTTCCTTTGAAGTAAATACAGAATGTGGGTCTATTACTTAGTGAGATAATTCTCACTGTCTCACTTTACCGATTTAGGTGTTTGAATATTTTGGCTGCAGTTTCCATCAGAAGTCTTTGGTGACTGGAAATAAACTTAAATATTTTGATTTTGGGGATTTTTGTGAGTTCATTAGTTCATAGTTAGTTCATAACTTCTTTCTCAGCATATAAAGATTCTACAAGTTGGTGCACGTGCATCTTTGCTCTTAAATGCTGAAGCATTTGTCTTCAGTAGTTTGTAAGGTGATTGTTACTAAAATGCCAAAGTTGAAGTGAGTCTGGAGGGAATATAGTGAAATCCAAATTATTTACCATGGTAAGAAATACTGGAAGTATGCTTGATTTTAGCAAACATGACAAATATTAACTTCTCATCTGTCAGTTGTTCCACCAATGTTAATATATACAATTTTCTTTCCTTTCTTCCCCCGTATTTAGGTAGTCTGTACTTTTGAGAGTCCTTAGTGATTTTAACCTCAAGAAAACATGTCTGTGGAATTTAAATAGTCTCCTCAACTTTGTGCAGCTGATGTAATTTGAGCCAGTTAAAGTGCTCTTTTGAAGCTGATGTGCAAAAACATGGCAAAACCTGAAGTAAAATTAAGTAAAACTAAGATGCAGATTTTACGTGGTGTGGAAGTTGCATCTCTTTTTTTCAGTTGCTCTAGCTGTTCAAGTATTTTGATAAATACTCCCTCAGAAGCCACTGTGAGTTCTGCTTCTGCAGACAAAGTATTAGATATCTTTTGTCTAAAGGTTTTTCAAACTGTCTGTATGTTGAAACTGTGAAAACTGAATATTGTACAAACATAGTTGTGCAAGGAAATTTACCAGCATTTTTTAAACTCAATAAGTTATGTCCAGTTTTAAGAAACTGAAGTGTAGATGGTTTTTAGATATAGTAAAATCCTAGCAAGTGGTAAACATTTTCAGTTCAAATGGTAGTTAAACTGGAGTATAAGAAGAAAAGAAACTTCTAGTCCTTGCAAATAAAAAACATTTCCTGCCAAATGTAGGAGGTGAATAAATAAATACCTTAGGAATTTCCTATCCTGGAAGAATTTTACATCTGAAGTAACTGCTGGTGTTTTATTATTCCCTGTGTATTGGTAAGACTAACAGAAAATTTCTTATATGGCAAGACCAAAGAAAGTCTTTAATGCCCACATCTGTATCTTACTAATATTTAACTTGCATATGAGGGTCAGGCAGAAGGCTGCGTGTACGTGGCACCAGAGGTGTTGGTGACCCCTGTCTTGCTGCCAAGCCTCTTACAAATGGCATGTTATCCTGTCTCTCTTACAAATGCTCCTTTCTTTCAAAAGCTGGGAAGGATGATCTGCTGGAAGAGCTTTGCACCTTCACTTCAGCACCCTGGGAGCTATATGAAGGCAGATGGTCACATCCTTTGCACTAGTAGAATGCAGGATTTTCAATGCATCAGGATTTGGTAGTTTGTCTTCCCTGATTACTTATGCCTTCTACAGGAGAATAGCCCGTAGGCAGGAGCTACCTACAGTTTACTTGTGCTGTGCCATACTCCAATGCTTTTGGGAGCAGAAGGGTAGAGTAAGTGTGCTTGCAGTTATTGGCACGCTAATAAATTTCTGCCATTAACTGTTAGTTTCCACGTCCGCAGCTGAAGCGTGGTGATGGAAAGTATGTGCAGCTTAATCAGCTGCGATAGTTTTATTTAAATGATCACTCTTCAAATGGTGTGTTACACGCTTTCCTAATGGATTCCAGTGTCCAGCGTGAGGGATGGAGCCTACTTGTGCTGCCCTTCGAGAGGGAAGGGCTGAGCTGTGGGAGCAGGGGGAGGAAGGGGGATGCTGCTCTTGGAGGGGAGAGGCAGTGCTGCAGGCCTGAGAGGGGAAGAGGAGAGTGGGAGTAAGAAGTGCTAAGAGTTTTGCAAAGTGGATTATTGTTCGCTTCTGGGGGCGGCAGGAGGTAAAGAGGAAGCCCTATGGGTTTAAGGGTATGAAAAAGGGGAAAAGATAGCAGGAGGGCGATCTATTCAAAGAAGTTAACCCATGACTGAAGCCATTGCTAAGGCTGGTGCTTGTAGCTGGGGTTGTAGGTAAGCTTCCCTTTTTTTTTTTTAAATTTGTTATAACTTTTCTGTGTCCCAAGAGTTAATGTCCTGGAATTGTTGTTCTCTAAGTCTGAGGATAATAACTGCAGTGCCATGCATGTCCCCCTATTGCTGCCACCAGAAGAGAAGAAATGTCTGAATGTCCTAGAGGATAAACTTCCTGCAGGCTGTGACTACTCTGATTGGCTTAATATCAGATGAACACATGCGACTTCTGCCTCCAGTTAGGAAGGAGACAATTTGGAAAACTAAGTCCTGGGGAGGAAGGGAAGCAGCAAGAAAGGAATCATCAGGCTTTTTACATACCTTTTTGATGTAAATTAGCATTGAGGGGGTTTGCTAAAAAGGCAAATCTGTTTAAATGGTAGTTTGTCCTTAGGAAGGATTATCTTCAGGCCTGGCTTCTTGTTTGGTTTTGGGCCAAGAAATGTTTAAGGGAGGTATTCTAAACATTCCCTCTATAACTGCCTTCTGAAATGTGCTAGCTAAGTGTAGTTGGCAAGCAGTGCTCAGCATGCTGTTCATGACAGCTTGAGCTTGATCTAAGTTGAGGCTGTTGAATACTCTTGCCTTCTCTCCTGTACCATCCCTGTTTCCTTGTTTTTGTTTGTGTGGTCAGCTGGTTCAGGTAAGTGATTTGAAGACTGACAGTGGGAGGAGAGGGGAGAAAAGACAGACAGTACAGTCCTAATTCTGATTACTTAGACCGCTGTGGTACCACCAGCTTAAGCAGCAGTTTTAATGTTACTCTAAGACAGTAAAAATGTCAGCTATTGCCAAAAAGGATATTCCTGCCACCCTCCTGGACGCGTGCTCTCATTGTTCTTCTGTGCTCCTTTGGTAAAGATGCTCATCTAACCTGAGTTAGGTCAGATCCTGATCCAGCTGAAAACTATCCCAGCAGACCGAACTTTTGTGCTGCCTTAGTGTTTCCTAATCTTTTGATATATAGATTAAAACTAGTGGCACATGGCAGATCTTCTTGAGCTGTCCAACCCTGCCCGATGTGACTGGACAGCAGTCCTGTGTTGAACTGCTGGGCTCATCACACAGTACCCTGCCTCCCAGTTGCCCAGTGCTGCTTGCTGTGGCCAGGCTCTGAAGCTTACTTCTGAAAAGCGGATGGGTGTTGTATGTGTGCGCTGATGCTGCAGCACGATCCCATAGCTCTCATGGCACAAAGGCATACCCTGCCATACCGCTGGGAAAACGCGGCTTTAGAGGGACTGTGGAACCATACCTTAACTCTTCATTCTAACCTGCCTCCTTAGGTTGTGATTCCACGACAGTGCAAAAAACTGAAAGCTAACGCTGCGAAAAACTTGATTAGTTTATGGTCAGCTTAGCTTCGTGAACTGGCTCGTTCTGTGATAAGGGAATACATCCAACTGCAGCTGTGCTGGGCAAGTTGGAAGGGTGGCTCTGTGCTTTTCCTATCTAGTTCTGGCAGAACTATCTGGGAAACTTTCTAATTTTTTGTTATCCTGGATCTTCAGGACAAATCTAGATTAGGGAATGGCTACATGTGCATTGACGTCAGCGGACCTAAAGGAGTAGTAACCCCTGTGTGCGGAGACAGAAGCTTTTTTGAAACTCTTTACCTTATTTCAGCTGCAGCCGGTGCATGTCACTTCAGCCTTTTCCTAGAAACAGGGTCTGGTACCAGGAGTTCTACTGCTTGTAGATAAGCTTCCTCTCATACACTGATAAAACCAGAACGGTGTTATAGCTGTATTGTTAATTTTGATGAATTATTCAGAATAAGTGATTGTAGGAATCCTGTGTGTCTCCACTGAGTTAGAGAGATGCAGATGTATTCATACAGCAAAAAGATCAGAGATTAGTGTGGGGACCCATCCTGTTCAACTTGTAAATTTTACAGAGATTTTAAATGCTTTAGGGTGTATACATCTCGAGTTTGGTAGCAATTTGTGAACTTAGTAAAACTTTGAATATAAGTATAAAAAAAACTATACTTCTGGCAGCGATACTGTGTTCAAGTTAATGATGTAAGGATTAACTGAGCTTTGGTGGATTGCTTCAGGACAGCTGCACTTTTCTGGATAGGTCAACCAAATTTTTCAATGATCACTTTAGTCAAATGGTGCCTGTGATGGGAGTGGCCCTTTATGAAGGTAAAAAGAGACTGAATTTTGTCTCCCACAATGACTAAGACTAACCTGAAAGCTTACTGATGCGTGTTTCTGGTTTCTGTTGAACTGAAGCAATGACTCCAGTTGTGTTGTTCCCTTTATCTGAATGAAACGCTTGTAGAACTGTCATCTGTTCAGGCGTAGATGTTTTGTAAGAGCGTCTTTCCTGCAGGGATGGAACAAGTAGGGGTAGTGGGAAGCCAAGTCGTTTCTCCTGGATTTTTAGGTGTCTCAAACAGGTTGCTACTCCATATGTTCCATTTTTCAATTGAAACTTACTATTATCTTTGTTTTATTTAAAAAAAATGCTCACAGCTGTATTAAAAATATTAAGGTTGAATAACTGCTGTTTGAATTTTTCAGCTCTTTAACGGTATGATACATTCACGTGTATCTTAAACTTAGGAGGGGCTATACCATGGCACCCAGCTTCAGTTTTGGTAACTTAAATGTCATAGACACTCCTACTAATCATATTTATTTTTGTTTTGTTTTTATTCTAAATTCCTTGCACCCCAGGTATTGCTTGGTTTGTAGCATAGAGGCACTATGTACTCGGAGTGGAGATCCTTGCATCTTGTCATTCAAAATGATCAAGGTAATACAAGTGTACTTCACAGCTATCCTGAAAATGTGGGGAGAGAAGTTGCAAATGCAGTGGTACGTCCTCTTGGGCAAGCCTTAATTACATCATCGGTTGGAAGTGAGAGTTTACTAAAAACGGACAAAGAAGTAAGTGTGTTTCCTTAGATAACTTACTTTTTTCATGCTATAGAGGCCGCTTAATGATTTTCTATAGACTCTCTTTTACAAAAAAATTCTTTCTTTTTAATAGACTCTTTTACAAAATTCTTTCTTTTTAATTTAACTTTTTAAAATGTACTGTATTTATGTTAGTAATCATTATAAGCAATAGTGGATTTTATGAATGAATTTTAAGTGATGTGCAGTATTTATCTGAGCTCATATATGAGCAAGTTTAGCCTAAAGTTGAAAAAATTTTCAAGGAATTTAATGACTAACGCATTAAAGTCTTTCTAGAGTCAACTCATCATTGTTGATGCAACAGTATGTGTGCTTTTTAAATCTCTGTATAGTAAGTAATACCATGGATGAGTAATTACTGTTCTGGATTAAAAACTTTCTTATTAATAACCCTGTTGGTTGCTATCCAGTTCTTGCATGCTCTGAGTTGTCCTACTACAGTTTAGGTTAAAAGTTTAGAGCAGTTTATTTGCAGTCTTCATGAAGCCTTGATACTGTGTGAAAACACTGAAATCATTAACTCATGTATACATCAAATAGAGTAGTTCTAATGCAATAAAATAACAGTATTTATGTGGTAAAAGCAATGTGCACTAACCATTGTTTACCCACTAAGGTATGCATCTAATGGCCTTGCTTTGTGTTTGGTTAGGTAAAATGGACTATGGAGGTGGTTTGCTATGGACTGACCCTCCCTCTGGATGGCGATACTGTGAAATACTGCGTCGATGTATATACAGATTGGATTATGGCTCTTGTATTACCTAAGGACTCCATTCCTTTACCAGTTATTAAGGAACCAAACCTTTATGTTCAAAGCATTCTCAAACATCTCCAAAATCTCTTTGTACCAAGGTGAGTATCAGGCCAGTAGTGCTAGTCATGGGAAAGAAGCTTAGGGACTTCATGCTCTAGTCAGCAGGTGACCTCTCTTGGTGAGAGGCCTGACTGAACCATGCAGACTCTTGATTAGAATAAGAGTGCAATTATTGCAAAGCACAGTTAAGTTGGAAATTAGGAGAGAGGTTTCCTCTCCGAACACGTTTTGCAGTTTTCAGTAGCAAGTTTGGCTGTTGCTGCTGTGTTTAGATAACTAGTTAAAGATCATTCATAGACTTGAATGTTTGCTGTTTTGATAACTTTGGGAACCATCTCCATTAGATGGCCGGTGGTAGAGGAGGGAGATGGTGGTATCATTGTATGACTGTGTGCTTGCTACTAATTAAAACTGAGAAGTTCTTAAAAGCACATTATGGCAATGATGATGTTCTTGGGAACAAGACTTGGAAGCAGATGGTTGCTCTCCAGCATGGCTAACAAGGGAGCAAGCTGGGAAGACTATTCACAGAATGGTTTAGGTTAGAAGGGACCTCTGGAGATCATCTAGTCCAACCTCCCTGCTCAAGCTGGGTCCTCTAGAGCACCTTGCCCAGGACTGCATCCAGACGGGTTTTGAATATCTCCAGGGAAGGAGACTCCACCACCTCTCTGGGCAACCTGTTCCACTGATCAGGCACCCTCACAGTCAAGAAGTTTTTCCTCATGCTCAGACGGAACTTCCTGTGGTTCAGTTTGTGCCCGTTGCCTCTTGTCCTGTTGCTGGGCACCACGGAGAAGAGTCTGGCCCCATCCTCTTGACACCCTCCCTTCACATACTTGTACACAGTGATGAGATCGCCTCTCAGTCTTCTCTTCTCCAGGCTGAACAGGCCCAGCTCTCGCAGCCTTTCTTCAGAGAAGAGATGCTCCAGGCCCCTCATCATCTTTGTAGCCCTCCGCTGGACTGTCTGCAGTAGTGCCATGTCTCTCTTGTCCTGGGGAGGCCAGAATTGGACACAGTACTCGTGGGGAGGCCTCCCCAGGGCTGAGGAGAGGGGCAGGATCACCTCCCTCGACCGGCTGGC